GGGTCTCTGCAGTGACAGTGCAGTGTATTTTCCCCTGGACCACCGGGGGCTCCCAGGTGGCCCAGCCACCTACAGCCTGATCTTCCCTCTGCACATGCAGCTGTTATTGTCATAAAGACAACAACTTGCTATGGAGAGAACTATGAAGCACTAACAGACAGTAAGTGATTTACAAAAGGGTGTTCCTTCACTTCACTGGAATCACATCAATATCCTAAAGAAGAGGAACCTATTAATGAGGTTTCAAAAGTAGGAAGCATCATGTACATCTGAAAAGAAAGAAGGTTGGAGAAACACTCACATGGCTCCTAGAGTCAATAAAATAACTTCTACATGTCCTTAACCAGCAGAATTGTTTTCTAGAAGACATAGAGAATTTTTCTTTTACCCACTGGATCTCTTCTAGGTTTCCTGTGGATTCTCCACCTTGTGCAGATTCCTTGTAGAGAAATATTTTTCCAGCTTCCCTCTATGGAGGGAGATCTGTCCTTGGGCCTGCACTCAGTCTGATTCAGCCAGTATGTGTATGAAGTTTGTTTTCCTGCCAGAGCACGGCAACAAGGACCACCAAATGGAATGGGGCCCTTGGCACCCACAAGTCTCCTACAGCATGGACAGCTTGTGAGGGCAGTTCTTCACCCTGATGGCACTAGCTCCAGGAGCATAAAAGAATCTGTGTGCAAATTTTGCCCCTGGGAAATCCAACTTCCCTAAAAGAAGGTTTATTTTTTTCTAATGGCTGCTATTTGGATGGAAAGGAAATAAAAGCCTAATTACAGATTATCTGTAGACTATCACTAGCTGAGAAAAGTCATCAGGTTGTCTTTTATATGGATGTGATGGGAAGGTCACACATACACATCTTGTATTGAGAGATCCCAGATAACCACAAGAATAATTGCAGCAAACTGGTATCACAGCATGTGCTGACAACTGGTCTGTGTTTATTCCTTCAGGACACACCGGGGATAGCTTGAGGTGAGATTTTTTTTTTTTTTTTTTGAGTTGATCTCATAAAGAATAATTCACCTACATCCTCATGGGAACGTGATGGGATCTGAAGTAACTTGTCCTACTATTTGCTCTGAAATATTGCTGGCCTCATATAAGCATTCACATAGGGTAAACATGGTCACAAAATGAGTAACTAGGAAAAGCATTTTGTCCAAACATGTCTAACTTAGAGTGTTCTGATATTCTTCTGCAATGTAAGATGAATCCATGCATTTGAAGATGGCAACATCCAACACTTCCCAAGATAAACCTGATGGCTGCACAGAAGGCCATCAGAATTTTTTTCTTCATTAAAAATACTTACATGGTTAATGGGGCAAGATATCCTGTCCAGAAAATATCCAGAACCAATTTCCTATTTTTTCACATCCCCCTCTAAAACAGATTTTAAGTAAATGATACTGGATTTTCTGTAATCCTTCATAAAGGGTTGCTATGGATACTTTGAACAGGATAAGGGGCAACCCGAAGAGTTGGGATTTTTGAGAAAATTCGATGTTACAGTCGTAGTGATACATGTCAAGGTGAGAGAGGACATAAGATTTAAGAGATTTCCAGTCTGCCTTTGATTTTCAGATATGGCCTCCCAAATAGCATATCCATTGGCTTTAACTCATGTTTCTCAAGCTGTGCAGAGGAATACTGAATTTGATCAGAGCTTGCAGTGAATGTCTGCTATAATTTCATTCTCCTCTGGAAACACCTAAAAGGTGAACATCTTTAAAGGCACTAAGAATGGGTCTCAGTTTTGCTTTTGCAGAAAAGTTTCCTCTTTTGCAGTTAGCCTCTCTCCACAATAAGATCAAAATGCCCAAGCCACAGCTCTTTGCCCCCATGCTGAAGGTTCATAAATGCTTGGATGAGTTCAGACAGCCCAATGGTCCACTGCAGTGTATACATGACATTCAGAGAATGCCACTGATGAAGTTTTGATGTCTAATACTATCAGAATGACTGGTCACCCCAACCAACTGTGACTAACACCAACAGAGCTGTGAGTTATACTGCTGTCCTGGGCTTTGCCTTTCACCGTATTTCCTGGACAAAGTTAGCTGTAGGATGTATTTCTGCAGCACCTTCTTTACATGATTGTCCGAAAGAGGGGTATAGTGTTTAAAGATCAGAAGCAGGGATGGAGCCATTATTCTGATCACCCCATAGGATACCCGCTCAGTATCCTCTCTACTTCTAGAGTTAGTAATGATTTTTCAATCATTCCTATTAGAGTCGATGGAATTAAACTGTGGTTGCATAGAGGTGCCTTCAGACTTCCTAACTCAGAAACTCTTGGTATGCCCATGACACATCACGTCTGTGTCATGATACTCAGTACAATGGCCCAGAGGTAATAATCCAAGTGCACAAAATATTCCAACTATACCACTTTTATAAGTAATTTGAGCTCCAGTATTACCTGCCTGAGGCACCGCAGACAAAACAGTACTGGGGACCCAGCAAAAAGCCAGGTCCTTTTTTTGAGTGGTCTATGCAACTGGACCTACCAAACGGAAATTCATTATGTCTTCACTGAAACGGAGCCCTCAAGAAATGCCTAGTCACGGCTCACATGCTTTTCAGGTTCTGTTCCATAGATTAGCCCTTGACTGGTCTCAAGTAGACTTCTTCAAGTAGATCCTTGAGGAGTTCAAGACATTTGCCATGGTTTCTAAATGTCTTTTTAATGAATCTAAAATTTGGGTAGCTGGATGTCAGCTTCAAGGCAGACAGAGCTGTGTTCCATCAAGGGACATGGTTTGAAAGTGGTAGATCTTCCTTTTTTATTAGGGACTAAATACACCCAACGATCTGGAAGAAGAGCAAGCTAAAAGCTGACCCTGGAGCAGAAGCAGAAAAATGGAAGCATGGAAGTCAAGCACAGAAGCCAAGTGCCAGGTCCCAAATAGGTCTCATGGAAAGAGGAACTAATGCACCAATCAAGGACAAGTGATGCTGCATGGAGGGAAAGACTTCTCAGCGTAGTGGTTGTAACAGTAACTTGGACACTACTGGAAAGGCACAGCAGACAATACATGATGATGCTTTGATGCATGCCATCAAAGTCACTCGTTTAACTGGAGGAGAGGAGCAGCCTCTGTGGGATACTGCTCTCTGGTCCTGTTCACAAGGGCTCCATTTTCAGCCTTCTGTAAAGCATAGAAGGTTCTGCTTGATCCCTTCTAACAGGGAGTGATGAAGGACAGTTGTGCCTCATCAAACTACTGTTACTGTGGGATGCAAACAGGGAGCTGAGACTTCTAGGCTACTACTGCCTTTTGTGAGGGAAAACACGTATAGCAGACAAATTTTCTTGGTAATGGTTATACAAAAAAAAAAGCCAACACCGATATATTCCACTACATTAACCCTGGCCCCAGCATAAAGCTTACTGTACTGCTTGACTTTCATCCACCATTCTTACACAATTGTTTTCTTCTAAGTGTTGCAAAAACTGGGCACCGTCACCTTCACCTCCTAGCTTTAATTCCATCTCAAATAGAATAGTTCTAGTTTATTTCACTCTTGCTGCTGAATGCTATATATATATATATATATATAAAATCCGATTCTCAATGAATCATGCATAATTCTCTGGGAATTTGGTGAGGCTAGCACTTGTGGGAAGATACTGACACCTGGACAATGCCTTCTGCAGACTACATTTTTGAACTGTGGAATAAATATATTAAAAAAGAGTCATACAGCTGGGAAGCATCTACCTTGTATGGTTCACTGAAGAGGGAATAGCTCGTGTTAAACGTGCCATCCTCCTGCTGGGCCTCCTGATTTCTCCTTTCCCATTCTTTCCTTCGCAGCACATTTCTATCTGGCTCATAGACACTGCAACAAAAAAAAAAAAAAAAAAAAAAGAGAAACAGTTTTTTAAGAGTTAAAAATTAGACAGCAACATATAAACCAATGTGCACTTGAAAGTTAAAAATTTTTGCAGACAAATGGCAAAAATAAGCACAAACATGAATCAGATGAATGCCAATCAAGTAGGCTGGGGAGGCTCAGGTCTCTGGGAATGCTGGTGCTTTCTTCGCATAGAGAATAGATAATTAAATTCTTACAGAAATATAAAAAAGAAATCACAGGGCAGGATCTAGTCTGTGTAGAACTTCTCTGCTTGAAATGTGATAAAGGAAATATCTAAGCAGCTTTGACAAAGACTGAAAGTACTCTTAAGGCAGATGGTAATTACAGCTATGAGTAAATAGAAATTATGAACATATTTCCACTTGTGACATATCCTCTGAGTGTTGTATGAGAATGCTCCTTTTTTTCACATGGATGTGTTTCTGTAGTGATTCTTTCATTAACTAGCTCCCTAAAGAGCTGTTAAAACTATATGCTGTAGTGGTTTCTACAGTTAGGTTGCTTCTTCTGATCTCTGTTAATCAGCCAAGTCGTGAAACTACTACTGAAACAATTCCTCTTTCTGATGGATTTGACACTACCACAACTTTGGAACATGAATAAATGAATACTGGCATGACAGTGTATGAATGGCTGGTGGAGTGTAGCCGGAGAGAGAATAAAATCACTGCATTACACAAAAGAATTAATTTTTAAAATTTAACTACTTTGGCTCCAATGCAGACATTCAGAATAATTTTTTTCTCTTCCCCCACCCCCCGAATTCTAGTTTAATGCTTGACAACATAAACCAGAGAAGCCACACAGGTTTACACACTTTAGTCTGTTATGTTTTATTCTCCCCACAAAGAAAACCAATGTGTCTAACAAAGTTTATGTGTTATTTCAGGACAAAGTGCCAAGTATGCTGATTGCCTGTTTCGCTTAGCTCAGCTAATGCTTTTCTTCTGGCACTGTAAATCTGTAAAGCAGGAATATATATTAATGTCATGTAAGTGCACAATGTGTTAATAAGAAAAACATCGTCTTGCGAACCAACTTCCCAGTTAGTAAAACATATGTTGCATTGGCTACCCACGTGATGCTACCTAGTATGCCTAAGGCAAGGCAGCCAAAAGGCCAACAGTGATCTGATTCTAATTCAAGACTTGAAGGAGCTGAAAATACACAGGATATGTTAGGCACTATTAGTGTTTAAAAACAATGCCTCAGCAGACATCAAAGGAATTAAAAATCTTGTGTTTGCTTGTTAATGCTGCTAACTCAAACTGGACTGCACAGTACCCTTCTGATGGGTCTGAGGGCAGATGCCAGGCTCTGAGCAGGGCTCTCAGACACAGGAGTTTATTGTAAAACACAGGGTTTCAGTATAGCAGGTTGGAGACAGCATCCACACACAAGTCTGTTTATTCCACTTACAGGTGGTTGAGGGTTTTTCGGGGTTTTTACCATATTTTTCAAGAGCAATACACGTTATTCAAGCCAACATGCTCTCCTTGGAAAGCAGTGTATGAGGCCGCAGTTTTAGGGGTGGAATTTTGGAAAATGCCTTCCTCCAGGAAGAAGGGGATAGCAAAGGCCTCCCCATGGGGTCCCTGTGCACGAGATTATCTGCTGCATGTGCTGCCAGGGCCAGAGGTAGAGCAGTTGTCACTGACTGCTATGTGAGCAAAGGTCTTCAGTTACTACATCCCACCACTGAGCATCCTCCCATCAGCTAAGTCAGTTAACAACCACCTCTGTGCCTAAAGCAAACTTTCTGCCATGCTGAATAGCTGTTGTTAGATTGGGTTTTTCTGGCGTTGCAGGGATCGGGTTATAACTTCATCCTCAGCTACATGACTCCATCTGGAATCTCTTCACTCTTTGAGATGCTTTGCATATGGACTTCAGCTTGCAGTCAAATAGATAATGGGGAGCTTCCCTGACATTAATTATAACACTGGTCTGTACTCGATTTCTAAGAAGTAAGCAAGTACAATATTCTTCCCTAGGCCTCATACAAATTTAAAAATGCACTCCTGATACTCCTGAAATGGAAGGACATTTTTATCCCTTTATTGGATGGAGACATACTTGATGAAGATGTACAAGTCACCAGGTCTCTGAACCCCCTTCTCAAATGAATTCACTGCTGGCAGTGCAATGCACAACCTGCAATAATTCAGAATGATTATGCAAGTGGCAGAACTGTGTGACAATGCCTAACATGCCATCTATAAGGAATAAGTTAGGAAGAGCTACAAGTAGAGAGCTGTGTTCCTTTGGTAATACCAGATGGCAAAATGTCTAGCATTTGTGAGGCTGTTCCTTATTTGCATGAACATTGTAGCAATCACATTTCCTTGAACGTATGTCACCAAATGTATTTATTTGTTTTGGTTCAAGGAGAATACTGCCAACTGCTATAATTGTCTTTATTGCAAACACTTCAGTTAATGGAAAACAATTCTTTTTAATAGTTTTCTTCTCTATTTTTTCTTAATTCTCAATTTAAAACAATCCCAAAGGTACATCTACTTGTTAATCGTTTACAGTGTGTCATTTCCACACCTAAGACATGAAGAACAAGCTTGTGAAAATCTCATGATTTTTTCTTCATTGGGGCGTGTGTACATATGTGAGTGATATCTGCATATATATATGTAAAATGCATGCTTATACATCAGTTTATTGATGAAGGATTTTGCTAGTATGGGCCAAAATGTTGATGCAGTTTTGTAAGACTTGGAAGCCAAAGAACATGCAAATACTCATCTCTCAGAAGTCACTGTCATGTATATTTGTTTCATACAGGTCAAATTCCAAAAGGGTGAATTTAAATAGTTTTTTTATGGTTAGTTAGTTTTAAAATGCTGCATCTGTTTCAAATTCATGCTTAGAGAACATGAACCAAAGCACAGGAAACAAGTCAAACACTTGCAAAAGTTATATATGAATAAAGTATGATAGAAATTAAACTACCTCAAATTTGGTACACTGCTTTTTCTGATTTATCTCAACCCTAAGATCTGCCAAGGTACACACTGGATTTACCAATTAATTGGGTCTAAATATCAATGTCTCAATCTCCAAGCACTTTCAGCACACCATCACCACCACATGGTCACAGCTGTCCTACCTCCTCTGCTTCTTCCAGGATACTTTGAATAATTTCACTCTCATATATTTGATAAATCAGAACTCCAAAGGATTGCCCAACTTCTCAGAGTATGAATGTTTAATAAGGTTTGATCTGTTGTGATGCCTTTTGGAACATTACCTTGATGACTACACACTCTGTGGCTGTGTGCAAGGTGAGAAGCCCGAAGAGAAGAGCCCAGGCATGCCGGTGCTGATGGCAGAGCAGTAGTGACATAAGTCTCCCCACAGAAATACTCACAGCTTTCTTCACGCTACTCCTGACATCAGAAGGAACCATTTCCTTTAGTCCTTAATTAGAAATAGAGATGGCTCAGGGGACAGCCTAGCAGCAGAGCAATAATTTTACCTGAAAAACCTGCGGCTGGATTTAATCTCCTACAAAGTCCAAAGAGTTATGTTGCCTCAGGCTAGGCTGAAAGTAATCATATAAAAAGCCTAAAGTTTTAAGTGTTGAAGAATCTCCTTTTCTTTCTTTCTTTCTTTCTTTCTTTTTTTTCTTTTTTCTTTTTTTTTTAAAGCACACTATTTCTGACTCAGTTTACCTCCCTCAGACATCACTTCTTGGAGCAACTCAAATCAAAAGGTCTAATCTCCATAATGAACTGGGTGGAGACAGTGCACCAACATATCCTACTGTCCTTCTGTTTTAGGGAATGCCCAAATTTGCATTCAGAGGAAGATGTCCTTTTCCACAAATGAAAGCACTGCACTTTCACTGAGGAATTACACTCCTTTGCAGGCATATGGTGTGTATTAACGATGCTGCTTGACCTTTTCAGAAACCACAAAATTGCTGCATCACTAAGGAGAGATTCAGGCAGGGTACTGTTATTTTGTTACAAGATCACCATCCTTATAGCAGCTGGCAACTTGGAGGTTGTTAAAGACACCGGTAGGTAAATTGAAGGTGAGATTGCTAGAACTCCCCTTGCCTGGCATCAGTTCATTTTCTGGCAAAGGAAGGGGGCTGTCACCCAGGCAGCCCTACCAGCATGACAGAGGATGGTGTTACCACGGGTATATGTAAACCTGGCTGTAGTTTCTGAACTTGTTATCATTTACTGCAACCTGCAATCTTGCCTTTGCCTTTCCAGACCTTCCAATATAGTTTTCCAGTCCAAAGATTTAGCTTATTTCTTAATTGTACGAGTTTTTCTACACCCACATACACACCTTCCTTTTATACCGTCCCCCGCCCCATAAATATTGATATAAATTTAGGTGGAGTAGTTTGTTTATTTGCAGCTCATGTTTTCCCAGGAGACTGATGTCCTTCACCCCAGCAGCTACCCATGGCACTTAGAATAAAACTTTCAGAACCTGAAGTCTAGACACATTAATTACAAAAGCAGAGCTGATGCTTCACCATTCAATTGTTTCCTAAACTGTCAAACCCCCAGTTCCTCCAGGTTCCTGGCAGGCCTTGGCTAAGGAAGACCTAGTTCCAAGGGCTGAGCTTCTTTACTGGATTTTATCAACCTCCCCATTTGTTCCTAAACTAACCCTTCTTCTGTAATCACATTAAAAGGCTCAATCAAAATGCCATGAGGCTACACCACTCACTCCCAGTGTCATGGGAATAACACCACCCCCAAGCTGCCAGGTGGAGTCCCTGAATATGCCCTGGGAGAGTAAAGTGCTGATCTTGTTCCAAACAAACAAACAAAAACCCATCCCAGAAACACAACCCATACCGTAAGTGACTAAAAGATATGTGCATTTCAAGAATAAACTAGACCTGTGAACAAGTTTTCTGCAAGGACACATATATCTTTGAAATTAAATTTTAGCACACGGTCATT